CACTCTCTCTCTTTCTCTCTTTCTCTCAAAAATAAATAAACATTAGAAAACATTCAAAAAAGAATGTTACATATGAACACAATGGTAACCACAGATCAAAAACCTATAGGGGCACCTGGGTGGCTCTGCTGGTTGAGCATCTGACTTCGGCTCAGGTCATGATCTCACTGCTGGTGGGTTCGAGCCCTGTGATGGGCTCTGTCCTGACAGCTCAGAGGCTGGAGCCTGCTTCAGATTCTGTGTGTGTGTGTGTGTGTGTGTGTGTGTCTGTGTGTCTGTGCCTCCCCCACTTGCACTCTATCTTTCTCTAAAAATGAATAAATGTTAAAAAAAATTTAAAAACCCTATCATAGTTACACAAAAAATAGAAAGTCAAGTATAACACTAAGCAAAGCTATCAAACCACAAGGAAGAAGATCAAGAGAAGAAGAAACAGAGAAGAACTAGAAAAACAACCAGATAACAATTAAGTATATACCTATAAATCATTACTTTAAATGGAAGTGGTCTAATGCTCCAATCAAAACATTTAGGATGACTGAATGGATAAAAAAACAAGACCCATCTATATGCTGCCTACAGTTGTCTCACTTCAAACCTGTAGACACATACAGACTAAAGGTAAAGGGATAGAAAAACATATACCATCCAAATGAAAGTGCGCAAAGGGCCAGTGTAGCAATTCTCATATCAGACAATATAGACTTTAAAACAAGGACTGTAGCAAGAGACAACGAAGGGCACTACATAATGATAAATGAAAAATCTGTCAAGAGGATATAACAGTTGTAAATATCTATGCACACAACATAGGGACACCAAAATACATAAAGCAACTATTAACAGATATAAGCAAAAATTGACAGTAATACGATAAGAGTAAGGGGCTTTAACGCCCTACTTACATCAATGGATAGATCATCCAGATAGAATATCAACAAGTAAAGAGTGCTTTGAAACACAAATTATACCAGATGAACCTGACAAATGTACAGAACATTCCATCCCAAACAGCAGAATACATATTTTTTTTTTTAGGTGCACATGGAATACTCTTCAGGATACATTACATGATAAGCCATAAAGTAAGTCTCAGTAAATATAAGAATACTGAGCTCATATCAAGTATGTTTTCCAACCACAACAGTATGGTACTAGAAATCAATTATAAGAAACAAATCTGGAAGAAGCACACAAACATGTGGTGGAGGCTAAACAACATGCTACTCAACAATGAACGGGTCAACCAAAAAATCAAAGATGAAATCAACAAATACATGGAGACAAATGAAAATGAAAACACAACAGTCCAAAATCTTTGGCATGCAGCAAAAGCAGTAAGAGGGAATTTCATAGCAATCAGGCCTATTTCAAGAAATAAGAAAATTCTCAAATAAAAAACCTAAGCTTACACGTAAGGAAACTAAGAAGAAAAAAAAGAACAAACAAACCCAAGGTTAGAAGAAAAAAAGAAATAATAAACACTAGAGCAGAAATGAACAAAATAGAGACTAAAAGAACAATAGAAAAGATCAATAAATCCAAGAGTCAGTTTTCTAAAAAGATAAAATTGAGAATACTTTAGCCAAATTCATCAAGAAAAAAAGAGAGACGTTTCAAATAAAATCATAAATGAAGGAGAAGAAATAGCCACTGACACCAAAAAAATACAAAGGATTATAAGAGTATATCATGAAAAATGATATGCCAACATGCTGTACAATTTAGTCAAATGGATAAATTACAGAAACATATAACCTTCCAAAACTGAATCAGGAAGAAATAGAAAATGTGAACTGAGCAATTACTAGTAGTGAAATTGAATTAGTAATCAGCTGACTTCCTAATCCCTCCTACAAAGCCAGCATTATTGTGATACAAAAACCAGACCAAAGAAACAAAAACAATAACAAAAATGCAAAACAAAGAAACAAACAACTACAGACCAACGTATATGATGAACACAGATGTAAAAATCCTCAAAAGATTGGCAAACCCAATTCAACAATATATTTCAATAATCACGGATCATGATCAAATGGGTTTTATTCTTGGGATGTAAGGGTGTTTCAGTACGTGCAAGTCAACCAATGTGATACACCACATTAACAAGAGAAAGGATACAAACCATATGGTCATGTAAAGAGAGGCAGATATAGTGTTTGATATTTCCAACATCCTTTTCTGATAAAAACTCAATGAAGTGGGTTTAGAGGCAACGTATCTCAACATAATAAAGGCTATACATGGCAAATCCACAGCTAACATCATACTCAATGGTGAAAAACTGGGAGCATTTCCTCTAACATTAGGAATAAAATAAAGGTTCCACTCCTGTCACTTTTATTCAGTGAAGTCTTGGAAGTCCCAGCCATTGTAATAAGACAAGAAAAAGGAATGAAAACCATCCAAATTGCTAAGGAAGCAGTAAAACTGTCACTTTGTAGATGACATATTACTATATATAGAAAACCCTACAGGCATCACCAAAAAACTATTACAACTGATAAATGAATTCAGTCCAGTTGCAGGATACAAAATCAATATAAAGTATGTGTCGCGTTTCTATACAGAAATGCAAAAGTAGCAGAAAGAAAATTTAAGGAAACATCCAATTTACAGTTGCACCAAAAGTATATAATATCTAGAAATAAAATTAATCAAGGTAAAAGACCTAGTCTCTGCAAACTATCAAACACTGATGAAAGAAATTGAAGATGATTTACAACAAATGTAGAAATATAGCATGCTCATGGATTTGAAGAAGTAGTATGGTTAAAATCCACATTACCCAAAGCAATATATAGATTAAATTCAATGTCTTTCAAAATACCAACAGCATTTATCACACAACTAGAACAAATAAAATTTGTAAAGAACCACAAAAGGTCTCAAATAGCAAAGCCATCTTCAGAGAAAACAAAACTGGAAGTACCACAATTTCAGATTTCAAAATAAACTACAAACCTACAGTAATAAAAACAGGATGGTATTGGCACCAAAAGAGACACATAGATCAATGGAGCAGGATAGAGCCCAGAAATAAACCTACGTGTGTATGGTTGATTAATCTACAACAGAGGAACAAGCATATATAATAGGGAAGAGACAGTATTTTCAAAAAATGTGTTTGAGGAATCTGGACAGCTACCTGCAAAAAAATGAAAGTGGACAATTTCTTACACCATTATTTAATGTTAACAAATATAATGTTAACAAATAAAACATAACATTAAAATGGATTAAAGGCCTAAATATGAGACCTGAAACCATAAAACTCCTAGAAGAAAACAGGTAATCTCTTTGACATCAACCTTAGCAATATTTTTCTAGGTATGTCTCCTGAAGCAAGGGAAACAAATGTGAAAATAAACGTGGGACTACACCAAAATAAAAAGCGTTTGCACAGCAAAAGAAACAATGAAATGGAAAAATGAAAATAAAATGAAAAGGCAAAGGCAACTTACTGAATAAGAGAAAATATTTGCAAATGATCTATCTGATAAAAGGTTAATATCCAAAACATCTAAAGAACTATATAACTCAACACAAAAAAAATCTGATTAAAAATGGGCAGAGGACCTGAATAGACATGCAGATGGCCAACAGATTCATGGAAAGATGCTCAACATCATTAATCATCAGGGAAATGCCAAAAAGAGATAAATGGATAAACAGGTGGCATTCAGATATGTTGGAATATTATTTAGCCATTAAAAAACAATGCGCTTTTGCCATTTGCAGCAACATTAATGGACCTAGAGTGTACGACACTAAATGAAATAATTCAGACAGGGAAGGACAAATACCATAGGATTTCACTTGTATGTGGAATCTAAAAAACAAACAAATGAACAAACAAAAGACAAATAAATTGATGTTTAAATACAGAGAACAAGTGGTGGTTGCCAGTGGGGAGATGGGGGGATGGGTAAAATAGATAAAGAGGATCAAGAAGGATTAAACTTCTAATATAAAATAAATAAGTCACAGAGATGAAAACTACAGCTTACGGAAAATAGTCAATAATACTATAAAAACATTTATGGTGACTTATGTTGACTACACTTATCATGTGGACACTGAGGAATGTATAAAATTGCCAAAGCAATATGTTACACACTTGAAACTGATATAACACTGTTAATTATACTTCAGTAAAAAATAAATAATAAAAGAAAAAAATGGTCACTATTTCCACTCTACAGTTTCACAAGTGATTTCTTAGTTATCCAAATCCTGGCACTAATTAGTCTGCCCACAGATGCCTAGTGTAAAGCCAAAGTCTAACATGTAGGAGACAGTACTGTTTTCTTATTCTAGAGAAGTCCATCCTACCAATGCATTTAGTCAATAATAAAATAAATATTTATAAAGCGATTATGTGCCAAACGTGTTTTGTAAGTTCTGGGAAGATAATGAAGAGCTGAAGCAGACATGGTCCCTGTCACTATGGAATTTAGTATCTAGTGGTTGAGAGGACATCTACCAGGCACAAAATACAGATGCATTCAGCTGTCAGCTCTGTACAGTTAATAAATATGAACTTTAAGAATAAATAGAGTTTGAAGTTTTACTCTGTACCCAGTACATATTTATCTTTAGAGAGTCATTATTTATCTTAATTATTCCAAAGGATAAATGCAGACAACATGTATTTTCTCTCTCATTCCTTTGACTTATATTGAGGAACATTTTGAATATGTGAAGACATCTAGTGTGACACAGCCCCTTAACATTTTTTCTCTTGTCAGAATGACAATGACTGTGGGAAATGACAAACCTGTGTTTACCTCTCAGCCAAGTCAGGCTCTTCATGTACTCGCTCAGGGTGCAAATAAATGTTTATGTCACAATTGCTGTCTTTCAGACTAGGTGGATCTACTCATAACACCTTGGAGAATGAGAGGATCAAAAAAAATACAGGGTCTCACAAATGACAGGATATCAGTTCAAGGCAATGTCAAAGACAGGAGGAGGTGGAGGCCAAGAACACTTACTGGTAAGTGGTAGGGCTGACGTTGATGCGCCGAGGGTGACTTCCTGATTCGAATTTACTTGCCAGGGTGACATTATTTCCAAACAGGCAATATCGTGGCATTCTTACCCCAACAACGCCAGCGAGCACAGAGCCTGAGTGAATGCCTATCCTCATCTAAAAGAAAAAGAAAGAAAAATGAAAAGGATATATTTATGGGTTTTTTTTTTGGTATGCAATTCTTCTAATGAGAAGTACTGCTAGTTATGTAAACCACTGAACTGGGATCTCCTCAAAGATGGGAACTTAGACTTGGTCATTTTTGTGAGTCTGATATCTGGACCATTATAGCGGCAGTAAACATGGATACTGTGGAATAAATAAGTTATAGGAAAAAATTGTATTTAATTTGCTATATAAATCTGGTTATACTACAGGTCAAAGCACTTTTTATTTGTACACATGTTCTAATCCATAAAAAATTTATTACTCTCCCTCCGTTTACTCTCACATACAACCCTGTTTTTTCCTTTATAAAATGAAGCACAATTATAAACTATATATTTACATTTCTGTTTATTTTCTTTGAATGTTGAATTGTTCTATGAGAGAAGGATCCATATCTATTTTCTTCCTGCTAATATTCAGTATTTAATACTGTACATGGAGCAAAGTAGGCCCTCCATACTAAGTGATAAATGTTGAATAAATTGTCAGAACTCTTTAACATTAAAATGGAGTTCTAGAGGAGTTAACCCTTGGGTCAGTCAAGAAGTGTCTATTGAACACCCTGAAAAATAACTTAAGGGCTGTGTATTTTACTCTGTAAATCTGATAAATGTTGGTCTGGCTCGTGCCTTGGAGGAGCCCTCAATGTGCAGTTGATATCAACTTAAATGTGATTCTAGCAATGAAGGAGCAGGTACATGGTCTACAGCAAAAAAAGCTGAAACTAATGTTGACCAAGTGGGGAGTGGGGTCCTTAGTTCTAGGGGAATGTGGGAGACAGGGAAGCAGTCTGACCTCTAGGACCTACTATCTAAGGAAAGTGTCACCCTTTCACTACCATGTCTGCTTCTGTCCCTATAGTTGTGAAGACAAAAAGACATCCTGAGACTAACCTTTGTCCTAGGACTGGGGACTCCTGCATACACCAACTGTTGATAAGACAGGTTGAAATCAGTGTGATCTAGCTGCATCTCTTAAGAACTTCTTCATCTAATTTTTAAAAAACGATCCTAACATTTATTTGGAAATTCAACATTTTTGAAAGAAGAAAGAATATTTTCCTTATTAGTATGAACATCCACTGGTACTATATCAACAGACTAACAGAAGAGAAAGCCGAAGAAAACTTCCATGTTTATGCAGATGATTGATATATGATACAGTTGGCATTTCAGATTATTGGAAAAAAAGACAGCATTTCCATTAAGATGCTGTGGATCAACTGTGTCTTCGTGTTGAAAAAAAATTCGAAGTAGATTAAAGAGCTTAATGTAGAAGGCACAACTTTACAGCTTTAAAAATAATTGTTTTAATTACGGTAAAGGTCAAGGTGCAATATCAGCAATACTCTACAATATAGAAATCCTGGAAAGTAGAGACTTTTATTGGTCTCTTGGTAACAGTTCCCAGGTGAGTGCTCCAGATTGTCAGGAAGCTCTGTTTGGTCAGGGACAGGTCTTTATCATTACATTCCTCTTCATGCCTGGTCATATATTCCTTGTTGGAAAACCTCAAGCTGAATCAGGACTGACCTCCTGTTCCAACTCATGACGGGGCAAGACAGATAGTGGAAGTTCAAGGGAAGGGTCATGATGTTACCATTAAGGTGACCTTCATTCCTTTGGGTAGATCCAGACTTAGATTTGCTATAATTTTCCTTCTGCCTAAAAGACTTCCTCAAGCATGTTTTGAACTGTAGATCCACTGATGATGAATTCTTTCAGCTGTTGTATGTTTGAAAACATTTTTATTTTGCCTTCCTACCTGACAGATATTTTCTCTGGGTATAGAATTCTACACTGATCATTTTTTCTTTCCTCTTAGTGCTTTAGTGATGTTGCTCCATTACCTCCTCCTTTGCACTGTTTCCTGTGAGAACACTGCTGTTGTGCTTATATTAATTCCTTCATATGTAATAGATCTTTTTCTATCTTTTGGTAGCTTTGGAAAATTTATTTAAATATTTTTAAATTAATTAACTTCTTGTTTTTAGAGGGGGGGGAGAGCACAAGTGAGTGAGGGGCAGAGAGAATCCCACAATGTGCAGAGTGAGAGGGAAAGAGAGAGGGAGAGTGAGTGTGGACCCAAGCTCACCCGAAGCAGGGCTCAAATTCACCCAATGCGGGGCTCGAACTCATGAACCATGAGATCGTGACCTGAGCCAAAGTTGGATGCTTAACCCACTAAGCCACCCAGGGACCCTTTGGAAACTTAGTTATGATTTTCCTTGATGCTGTTTTCTTCATGTTTCTTGTATTCAGGATTTGTTAACTCTCTTGGATCTGTGAGTTTGTAGTTTTCAACAAATGAGAAAGAAGTTCAGGTATTTCTACTTCAGATATTTTTTCTATCCATCCCTCTATCCCAGAAACTCCAATTATATGCATATTGGGATACTTAAAGTATTTCCATGGGTGATAAATAATTTAATTATTTAAAATACTTTTTGTTTGTTTTGGGTAACTTCTATTACAGTGTCTTCAGATTTACTAAACTCTTCTTTTGTAGCATCTAATCTCTTGTTAATCCCATCCACTGCATGTTTTATCTCAGACATTGTGATTTTCCTCTTTAGAAGTTCAGTTTAGGATTTTTCTTCTTCAGACATCAAATTAACTTTTGAGTATATGGACTTTAGTTGAAATATCTATTTTAATAGTATTATCTGCTAATTCTAACATCTATTAGATGTTATTCTTATCAGCTTTACTAGAAGCTAGCAATTTTTGGTTGAATGTTAAGTATCATAAATTTGATTTTGTTGAGTGGGAATATTTTTTAGATTCATAAATATTTTTTAATTTTGTCTATGGATACATTGAAGTTACTTGGAAACAATTTATTCTTTTCAAGTATTGCTTTTTAAGGTTTGTTAGACAAGTCTTGAGCAGTATTTCATGTAGGGCTAATTATTCTCCACTACTGAGGCAAGAACACCCTAAGTACTGTACCCAGTGCCCATGATTAACGAGGTTCTCAGGTCTTCCTGATGGGAATAGACATTTTTTTCCAGGTCCTATGTGAGTGCTAGGAACTTTTTCCTCTAGTCTTTCTAAGGTGTTTTTCCCTGTTGAGCTCAGGGAAGCTTCTCACATAGAAACAATAATCAGTGCTGTACAGAACATATAGGGGACCCCTTATCACAGATGCTGGTGATCATTGTGCAACTCTCTCCTTGCTTGTACCCTGTCTGTGACCTCCAGCATTTTTGGTCTCCCCAGACTCAGCTCCATCTCTTTGCAGGAATTTGTTGGATGCCTCCTGGGTTGCTTCTCCTTGCACCACAACCCAGTTGTTCTCAAAGCAACACACCAGGGAAATCCTATGTCTCATCTCATTTGTTTCCTCTCTCAGGGATCACTGTTTTCTAATGTTGAATAGCCCCTGTCATAAAAACTGTTCTACTGTATTTTTCCCTCCAGATTTTTAATTGTTTAAGGTAGGAGTATAAATCTCATCTGTTATTCCATATTAAGTGGAAGCAGAAATGAGATAGTACTTAAAATTTTTTAAATTATTTATTCATTTCTGAGAGAGACAGAGACAGAGCATGAGGAGGGGAGGACAGAGAGAGAAGGAGACAGAATCTGAAGCAGGTTCCAGGCTCTGAGCTGTGAGCATGGAGACCAGTACAGGACTCAAACTCACAGACTGAGATCATGACCTGAGCTGAATGAAGTTGGACACTTAATTGACTGAGCCACTCAGGTGCCCCATACTTTTTTTTTTTTTTTTTTAATCTTCAACAAGATACGTGCAAATCGAATGCAACAGCACATAAAAAGAATTACCCACCATGATCAAGTGGAATTCATTCCTGGGTTACAGGGCTGGTTCAATATTCGCAAATCAATCAATGGGATACATCACATCAACAAAAGAAAAGAAAAAAACCATATGATCTTGTCGATAGATGCAGAAAAAGCATTTGACAAAATACAGCATCCCTTCTTAATAAAGACCCTTGAGAAAGAAAGGGATAGAAAGAACCTACTTAAACGTCATAAAAGCCATCTATGAGAATCCCTCTGCTAACATCATCCTCAACGGGGAAAAACTGAGAGCTTTCCCCCTGAGATCAGGAACACGACAGGGATGTCCACTCTCACCACTGTTGTTTAACATAGTGCTGGAAGTCCTAGCATCAGCCATCAGACAACAAAAGGAAATCAAAGGCATCACAATTGGCAAAGAAGTCAAACTCTCACTTTTCCCAGACAACATGACACTCTACATAGAAAACCTGATAGACTCCACCAGAAGCCTACCTGATCCATGAATTCAGCAAAGTTGCAGGGTACAAAATCAACATACAGAAATCAGTTGCATTTTTATACACCAACCATGAAGCAACAGAAAGAGAAATCAAGAAACGGATCCCATTCACAACTGCACAAAAAAACATTAAATACCTAGAAATAAACCTAACCAAAGATATAGGAGCTCTGTATGATGAAAACTATAGAAAACTTATGAAGGAAATTGAAGAAGACACAAAGAAATGGAAAAACATTCCATGCTCATGGGTCGGAAGAATAACTATTGTTAAAATGTCATTACTACCCAAAGCAATCTACACATGCAATGCAATCCCAATCCAAACTGCACAAGCATTCTTCGCAAAACTAGAACAAAATATCCTAAAATTTGTATAAAACTACAAAAGACCCCGAATAGCCAAAGTAATATTGAGGAAGAAAACCAAAACAAGAGGCATCACAATCCCAGACGTTAGCCTCTACTACAAAGTTGGAATTATCAAGACAGTATGGTATTGGCACAAAAACAGACACATAGACCAATGGAATAGAATAGAGAACTCAGAAGTGGACCCAAAAGTGTACAGTAAACTAATCTTTGACAAAGCAGGAAAGAGTATCCAATGGAAAAAAGACAGCCTCTTTAACAGATGGTGCTGGGAGAACTGGATGGCAACATGCAGAAGAATG